CAAAACAAAATGGTGATTGAAAACAAAACTTCGGCACCGGTGCGCATCGGTGCGAGATTTTTACATTCTTTCTGGCACCGATGCGCATCGGTGCCCAGAAAAAATAATTATTCGGCACCGGTGCGCACCCGTGCACAACCAGTGCCGATAAAATATTTTTTTGTAGGGTTGTTTATTAACTGGTCAATTGTTGCTCATACAAAGTGAAAGACACGAAAGACAGTTTAACAATATCACAGACAACACTGTAAATAGTCTATGTCTGTTTTGTATGTAAAGTAGAAGTTTCAGTATTTTGTTTGAATAACAAGTGTTTTATTCACTCTTAACTGTTTGAGATACAATTGGTTCAGCAACACATCTTTGAACACCTTAATAATATTAACACTTAATTACAATAGAGCTAAAGTGTAAGAGAACTAATAGATAAGAAAAGCTAATATATCTTTGACAAGATGAACCAGAGTTTTATTTTTTTCAACTGTGAATTTGAATATCATGTTTAGTTTCAGATAATATTTATTCTATTAATTATAATTCATTAGGTTTATTCTAAATAATGGGTAATAAGCGTAGTCCAATGTACTTCTACGTGCTCGAATACAAGAACATGCTGCAGCAAACATCGGGCATTAGTTTGTCATTAAAAGAGTTGTTTGTTATTTGTGATAAGCCGTGAGCAAACTCACCCGAGTCCAAGCGTGCTCCTTTTCGTACTCGGTCGTCATTATGGACGGTATATTACAAGAGTTTATCGTCTCCTCCTCTGCATTCATCAGTAATGACTGTTAGCCGGTGGTTGAAAGATGTATATGGAGACCAGTCGTAGTTAGTGATTGATAATGAATCTTGGCCAAAGAATGAAGACAATTTGCGATTGATTCCAAGTGAGTAACATCATCCGACATAGATTTTGAATGATTTCTTGTGAATTTTTGTTTTACTCATCTTCTTTTTTCTTTTCTACAATTTTTTATAATATCTAGTGTCAGTGTATTAAAAGCTTTTTAGTGTAGTTTTTTGAAATTATCATTAGAACTTCAAAATATACTATGTATATTAGCTATAGTGAATTAAACATGTTCTGATTGATATTCGTCACATAGTTCAAAGAACATTCACGTATTTATCCATTCTTTCACCTGTTTCTTTTTGTTTTAAACTTTATTTTGTTGAAGATAAAAGACATGCCTACTATCGAGCGCGATACTCATTATAAGCATATCTGTCAGAAGAGAAGATAGAGAAAAAAAGATAAAGAGTACTAAAATAGATACAAAAAACAAAAAGCAATAACCAGACAAAAAACCAAATGAAAAGATGACTGAAGGAAGGTATTGGATACCACAATAAACTTCAACACGAAACGATATGCTGTGATAGCAGTACTTTCGATAATAGTTTTCAATTATTAGTACACCTCTTCGTTTAAATTACCACGTATACTATTTTTTCAGATCATTGCTGTCAAAAGATTTTTCCACTAAGTATATTATTCGATTTCTTTTAACTCACAATGACGGTATTAAAATTCTGATGGAAAATTATCCTTATGAATTATTGCTACATTTTGACCAATGGGAAAACAATTTTAACCGTTTAATATCAATGTTTCCAAGTAAATAATTGGTTGACAGCGATAATAAATTAGAACTGAACATATTACTTTTTGTGCACTGTATAGAAAATTTTTAACTAACACAATGTGTATTTGACATACATAATCTAATTCTGTAGCTTTTTTTTTTTTGTTTATTCAGTCTCTGTTTAATTACGTAAGTTACTGGTTTTTACAATAAACTAAGCTAATTTTTGCATATCTACCAAAATTTATTCAAAGTAGCTCTGTATATGATCCAGTTAGCCGCCTTGAAATTATACATTATTCGTGGGCATTGAGGTTTTCGATCAGGTGTGGCCTTCAGTTCAAATGTAAGTGGTTTGTGACCATTTAGTAAGCCATGAGCTGGGATGAACTTTGACTGTCTCAATAAAATATAATGTGCGTGTACTAGCTATGATCCAATCGATTTTTTCATGATAATCATTTATTTCATATGTTGTAATACGATCTTCTATACAGCTATAAAAACCGTCTAATAAAATTTCATTGAGCTGTCGATATTGAGCTGTGGTCTAAATCTGATTTATTCAATAATTTATTTGTGAGTAGACTGGCAGTTAGCACTTTGGTTTGCACATGGATTCGATAACTTTCACTAGCGTTTTCATAGCTTTATCAACGCAATAGTATAGCGAAGAAGAATGGAGAAAAAGTATTCGACACAATGATATTTGCTTAGTTTATCTTCTGTTTAGGCGCAGATGTCACCGAGTTGACTTCCTATATTATGTAAAATAACCGTTATTTTCTGCAGTACAGCGTTATTTCTTGCTATCAATCACTTTGAGTTGTCATACTACTTCAATTTTATACGGTTTATTTGATGAATATCCTTGAAACTGATCGTCTTATTCTTTGTCATCTTTCAGTTCATGATGAACAATTCATACTTGAACTTTTGAATAATCCGTCGTGGTTACAATTCATTGGTGACAGAAATGTTCGCACACTTGATGATGCTCGAGCCTATATATTGAATGGACCAATGGACAGCTATCAAAAATTCGGCTTCGGACTTTATTTAATAAATTTAAAACATGAAAACCATGTATCTATTGGTATTTGTGGACTGATTAAACGAGATGTACTAGAAGACATAGATTTGGGATTTGCTCTCCTGCCTGAATACGCACGAAAAGGATACGCTTTTGAAGCTGCGTCAGCAGTGTTGAACTATGCAAAAACAATTTTAGGACTGAAACGTATCGTTGCCATTACGAGTATGGACAATCATCGCTCCCAAAACCTTCTAAAAAAACTTGGATTTACCTTCGAAAAATTAATCAAATTTGCCAATGATAATAAAGAACTAATGTTGTTTGCAAACTTTAAAGATGACCCATGTTGATCAAACCGGTAAAAAATCGCCAATTAACCGCAATTAATCATCCAATTAATTGTGACGTTAATTGTCCAATGAACTCTCCGCGGTTATAACCGGTAAACCGGCATTGACCGTCCGATTAACCGGTCGTTTTTTTCGGTTAATTGTTGGTTTCATCGTGTTGTCTGATCCTAACGCCAGCAGTTCGAATCTTGGTTCGAGCGATATTTTTTGTTTATATTTCCGTCATGTATTAACGATTCGCAATAATACTTCACTCTGCATGTAATTTTTTTAAATCAAAAATTATTTAGCATACATAAAATGAAACGCCAAAAAAACATATAATGCACACAAGTAAGTTGGAATTAAAGCCGCATATCTTTCTTCTGTTTTAAAATATACTTCACTTAAACATGACTGAAATTACTTGTATGCATATTATTACTATTAAAAGTAGTGATGACATATTACCAACCGAATTTAAGTTTATTATGAAGCATTATGAACACATTGCTAATTGGTGACTTCGAAGAGGTATTTGATATCATTATGTTAGATACATTTTTCAAAAAGATTTGTAACTGGAATGCAATATTTTTTAAATTGTCGACGGTAGAGACTCACACGATCGAAGGACTATTTGAAAATCAATCGCTTGTTCAAAACTCGGTAGTTGTCTAGAAGCCTCTATTCAACGCTGAAATATTCATTACATTTCAGATATAATTCTTAAAAAGAATTTTCTCATACATGGAAAAACGGTTTCTAAAATGTCACTCCGGAGCAAAATCATGTTGCATATTGTTTTTGTTTAAGGACTCAGGTTGTTTCAACTCGTGAATCTAGAATGTCAGAAATGGTGTGATCGATTATCTGTTAAACAACCATTAATAACCCATCCGATGTTTCTTAGATGGACATTTTTAGACCATTTTAATGCCTGAAAGTGGTCGGTGTATTACCATCAAAAAATGGACATTTTCTGACGTTCATTTTAAGGCCGTTATTGTACCAACGTGGGGTGTTAACAACCTATTTTTTGAACGCTTTCTGGAGTCAGTTTCTTTCTGATAACCGCACAAAGACTGAATTCGCTAATTTCAATATTTTGGGTTTCTTAGGATCATGATTTCGTCACTAGTACTCAGCCCAGAACTAAAGACTACCTTCTCGAGACAATTTTCAATGACTTGTACAATCGAAGAGGAGAAAAATTTTAAGCTTTCTCAAAAGAACTAACGTCATATTTATATTAGTCATAAGGGAGAAACAAAAGGATAAATAATTTGTGGAGAAATGGTTCAATTAGCAACAATAAACTGACAAATCTTCAACTAATAATTGATGTTATTGTACGAAAAATATATAACCAAATCAATTAGACTGAGAATTCAACAGCTGAGAACACATCCCACTACTTTTACTGTCAGCTTGTTGAACTATTTTGTTCAATGATTTTAAAAAATCCTTCTTATTCTAAAAGCAACCTATAATATCAGCAGAGGATCGTATACTCTTTAATAAATTTATGGGAAAACAGTCTATTTCGATCAACAACACTACAAAACTTTAAACGATAATACAATGAATTAGCATCATCACTACCAATTTTCTATCGTCATTATTGCTTAATAACTTATTGTATAAAGTATTCAACGCCAAATCATAATTGTTGGTTCAAATTTGTATAATAACCATTTGAACATTTTTCTACGACTCTTAAACGCATCAATGTATACAGCACATTGCTTCCAAAATCATCTTCATATCAAAGTGACGAAAAGAATAAAGTGCATGCAGTGTTAGGAAAAAGTGCTCTTTCTTATTCGGCTATACTCGATAACCTAGAAGATTTTCTATTTTTGGTGAGGAATATTGTGAAAAGTTTAGGAAAATTTTCTAGAATAAAATGAGGAAAAAAAATCTCCACACGAAAACAATATCAATTTCAAAGTTTTTACATACGACACTTTGAACTGAATTTTGTATCATAAACATTTCGGATGAGAAAAGGTTTATCTTCTGACGATTTACTCAAATTAAAATAAGCGTGTAGGAAAGCGCTTTCCGGAGTATGCATGTGCCAGTTCGTCATAGAACTGATGGGAACATTATTCTATTTGACTGTGGTTGATTGGTGCGAGTGCCTTTGGTGGGGGGGGGGGGGGGGGGGGGGGGGGGGGGGGGGGGGGGGGGGGGGGGGGGGGGGGGGGGGGGGGGGGGGGGGGGGGGGGGGGGGGGGGGGGGGGGGGGGGGGGGGGGGGG